TCCTCTATGTTTAAAAGATTCAGATCAGGCCGAAAATGGAGTATACTGCTCCCATATATGGGCGGGAGTTGTCTAATTTTCGTTCTCCACTCTCGATGGAGTCCAAAACCTTCTCCGTGTCTTTGTAGATGACGAATTATTTTCCGCCCTAGAACCCGTTACTCACAGACGAAACGTCGCAAGCTTCTAGCGGCTTTATCGCTATTTTCATCGAAAATGTTCAGATAAACTACATTCCTTAGTTCCACCAATCCTACCCTTCAAGGCTAAGACCCATCATGCCAGACACATTGGAGCGGACTACCTTCATTCCCTTCGTATTCCTCTGGTGAGATATAATTTCCACTCGAGCAGCTTTGTTCTACGAACCACTGCCTTGTAAAACCGATTCTCAAAAGGATGCTCCCCCCTTGAACTCTATAATCTTAACCCTTTTTTAAGTCTATGGCTAATTGTTAACTTCATCATATATCCGCATAAGCAGTGTCTTTTTTTTTTCTGTAACCCAATTCCTCGAGTGCCCCCCCCCCCGGGCCTAGTACAGGGTGGACACCATTGTAAGAAAAAAACATAAACATACATTTTTTAGGCAAATTGAACTATAGAGAACGGGAGTACTTGTTCAGCTATTTTACCAAAGAGCCATCACTACAGTATTAGAAAGAATAGATATATAAGGAAAAAATATTTATTGCTTTTGTTCAGTAAAAATGAACGGAAACAAAATATGTATACATTTTACTTTATATTTTTGATTTGTTTCGAAAGTCGGTGAAGATTTTTTATTTTGTCAGCCATGTTATTTTTATTTAAAGATTAATATTTTTATCCGAGTTTTCTGTTCTCTTTTAATGTTGGAGTTGCGAGAAAATCATCAATAGGTCGTAAGATGGTAAATATATTTGAAAATATTTGTTCTGTTGATTAATATACATATAATCCCTTTTATGGTTTCTGCTTTCATTTTTAACTTAGTTCCCAACAAAGCATATGAACCTGATGATCTTCTTGTAATAGTCATTAATAATTATGTTTCTGAACTGGCTCCTGTTCTCTCTAAACTTTATAAGTACTTCGTCGTCTCTTTCTTTCCTGCCTGTTAGAAATCCGCATCTGTTATTCCAGTTTTTAAGAACTCGGCTGAACCGTTCGACCCTTTCAATTATCGGCCTATTAATCTTCTACCTCTTTTGGGGAAACTCCTAGCAGTCCTAATCAATGCTGAGTTGGTTAAGTTTCTCACACTGCAGGGACTTTTTTAGACAAGCAATATGGCTTTCGTTTCTCTTGGTCAACTGTTGATGCACTGATTATAATTGCGGAAGATTTCTATCAAGCTCGGGATAAGAATGGTGAAGCCCGGGCTGTAGCTTAGGATATCTCTAAAGCTTTCTACAGGCTTTGGCATACAGGTTTTCTCCACAAGTTGAAAAGTTATGGTGTCTCCGGACATATTACTGAAATGATCCAGTCTTTCCTATCAAATCATGAAAGTTATACAGATCGGTTTATCTTACAGGTTTCTTTTGTATTGATGCAAATCTCTCTTTGTTCTTGCTTTGTTTTTGATTTTCATTAATGACCTTCCCGATGGCATCAGCTCTCAACTTGATATCTACGTCGATGACACAACTATTTATTCCTGTCTCGATACTAAGTCTGATCAGTTTGATAAGATCAAAATGGCAGCTGATATCCAAAACGACCTTCAGTCTTTAGTTAACTGGGGCAAAGGATGGTGTGTTAATGTTAACGCCTTTCAAACTAAACTGTTCTCTGTTAATCATTTGAGAGACCTCTCTCTGCTTTCCATCAGCATGGCTGATGCTAACCTCCAGGAAATTGACTGGTTGCACCTTCTCGAGCTAACGTTCTCAGCTGACATGAAGCGGAAAAACTATATTGAATCCATTGCTAGATCAGCTGCTAGGAAGGTAGCTTCACTCAGTCGTGCTAGATATTTTTTCGTCTATCTTACATATCTATAAGCCTGCCATTCGTCCATGCTTAGAATATTGCTACCACATATGATCCGGTATTTATGTAGAGATTCTTGATAAAATCCAAAGAAAAATCAACAATATTATTGGCCCTGAGCTGGCATCTCTGCTTCAGTCATTTTCACACTGCCGTAAGGTTGCCTCTTCTATAAGTCTTTTCAATAAACCACTTTTAAACTTTTATTTATAAACCACTTCTAAAGATTTGTTTCTAACCACCGAAAGATTGCCTCTCTGTGTCTTTTCTATAAATACTTTCATGGTAATTGTTCGAATAAACTCTTCGCTATGGTACCTAAACTTTATGAATTTAAGCGCAGTACTGGACTGGCGTCGAGGTGGCGCTAATTTATATATGTTCTATGCTAAGAGTTTCTTTTCTTGCTTGTGGAACTCTTTTCCGGCTCCATGATTTCCAGCAAAACTTTGATCTTCAACATTTTAAATGCAATGTCAATCGCTATCTTCTGTCCTCCTGATTTCTCTTCTTTAGTTCTCAC